CCTAGAGCTTACTTGGAATGGTAAAAGAAATATTAGTAAATTAACAAAAAAATCTGCTATTATTTTAAAAAAAGAATTGTCAAAGATATGAACAGTTTTGTTACCTGTGGTAGGTTTTAAAATCGTTCAAAAAGAGAACGCATGTATAATATAAAAAAATCTGTAATTATTAAAAGGAAAATAAACAATTTATTTTGTAGGTAACTGTTTTATCTTTTAGAATTTTACTATATTGATTTAAAAACAAAAGGATAAAGAAAATAACCATGAAGTTTTAATAACTCTTTTTATTATTACTTTTTTCATTACGACCACTTCTACATAATTTCAAAGGTTGACAATATTCTGTGGAAACAATCCGATATAATACGCTAATTAAAATCTCAAATAATAATTTTATTTCAATGTTATCACAGGTTACAACATTTAAAAAATGCAATTGATTAGTTACAGACAAAAGAAAATCAAACGTCAATTATACCGCGAAAATAAAATGACATTTGTTTTTTTAAAAGCAGTGGAAGGTCTCTCTAGAATACGGTCAAACTATTTTTTTCTCTACTAATACTGCTACATTGCACAATAAATAACGTAATATTAATTTTGTTATTCTAACCTCTAAAATATATTTACACGTTGACGATTCTTTACAAATTGAGTTTGACATATAGCCGTTAAATTGAATTATTAACAAATTGCTTAACTAAGTTTAGACTCGTTGCTACTAAGTGGATAATGGCTTGGATACTATTAAATAATTACATTGTTTCTATTTTCTATGCGATGGTTTAATTTCTGTTACGCCCAACTGCAATTATTGTAAAGCAATAATTCGTCCAACTTACAATTCTCGCTTTTAATGAATTACAAGATGGCCGTTTTGACAGATGTCAGATGAAATGTGTATAGTACGATTGATGATAATAAAAATAGTCAAACAAAGATATCTGAGCCGATGAGAGGCGCTGCTATCGCGCTTTGTTCTGTCAAATAAGTAAATAATCAATTGTCATTATCAGCTCACTATACGTCGCCAATTTGGTGCTCGGAGCCTACTTTAAGTTATGTGACTAGGTCATAGTCAAAGCTAGCCCAGCGCGGATTTTCTCAGAAATGTGTAGGTTGCATCACGATGTTTTCTATCACCTTAAGAACGTCGGATGAATGTACATGGACATAGAAAATAGCATACAAGAAAAAATTAAAGCTACATTTTAAGTTGACAAGAGAGCGCTAGTGGTTTGTATTTAGTTTGATTTGATATTCACCGGGTCAGATAACTTTGTAGGTCTATAAATAGATTAAAAATATTTAGATTTTCTGCAATAGATATAAATTTAAATTAACTATACACAATTTTCATTTGATTTCTATTTTTTAATGAACAGATTCCTGTAAATGCATGTCCGCTGTTAACACCAACAAAAAAATAAACGATTATATAAAATTTATTTTACATAAGTATTAAATCGATACGAGATTCTCTAATAAATTAAAACTACCGCACTCAATTATGTGTTACTCAAACCGTCACTAAGTGCAGATTTATCATATTACTAATACTCTCTTAGTGCGTGCATACTCTGGTTGCGACAGCTACCGTAGGTTTCTGAGACAAAAATCTCTTTACATAACAAATTGACATCCCTGTCAATAACTTTGACAAAACAGAGATAACAATTTAAAAGGGAGATTTGGTCTCGAAAACCCACAATTAATGTCGTAATTTAAATGGTCACCAAGGGCATCGGTAGCGCAGTTGTTAAGTGCTTGATCGGAACAGATCGTAATTTATACGTCCAGGTTCGATTCTCATTATGTACCAATGTTTTTCGAATTTCTAATTGCATATGTACATATATCAAACGTTCTTACCAAGAAAATTATTGACGCAATATAATTAAAATATATGTGATGTCAACCCGTCCTCTGCCAGCGTGTTAAAATCACCCCTAACATGGATAGTCTTCGAACTTACTCGATGTACACTATGAGCTAATGACACTAAGGGGGTCCCTTACTATACGAGATATCTGCACTAATTGATGGTTGAAGCAATCATTAAACGTCTATGAGTGCAACAGCTCTGTATATACATAAATACAAAGTTTAAGGGTGGATGAATATTCATAAGTCCTTTGTAGTTCCGACAGAAAAAAGTTGCCCGTATAAATTGGTCGTGTTGATTTTATTCTTTCATATTATCTCGACTTTAACAGCGGGTTTTGTATACGCTTTATACATACTTAAATACATCGCCATCGTCACCGAAATACTGAGAAATATGGCAATTTTTAATTCGACCAAACACGATAAATAGACATTTCCACCGTAGACAAGAACAGACGTTCCATTCTCGACATGTTTATAAACTGACAAAATTTGAAAACAATTTAGTTAGATTTACATTTAACAATAAAAAAAATGTCTTGCTTTCCATATGATGTAAATAATCCGTTTGCTCTACAATTTGTTTGCGCAATATCACGACTAGTCAGATTTCAAACTGACTAAGTTCGTAAATGTTCAGTGACAATCATCTTAAGAACAATAAAAGCATCATTTCGAACGCGAGCGCACTCATGTGACAAAAAATGTTATAAACTCAACTTTGATTGGTTCAAGCTTTATTATTTTTAAATTGCTAATACTTATAAAGTTATATCTGCCCTTCTTGACGGCCCAATAGATTTTTATCTTTAAAATTATATGTTTTTTTATTTTATATTAAAAATATTCTTCGCTCGCGACTCCGTCCGCACGGATTAAAATAACTTAATAAGTTCTCTATGTGTTCTTCCAGACTATTCTCTACCTCTAAGCAAAATTTCATTCCAATCCATGCAGGCGTTTTGGAGATATCTTCAAGCAAACATCTATCTAAACATTCGCATTTATAATATTAGTAAGATTTTATCGTAATGAATTTCTCAACTCTTACGTTATAAGTAAAAGGTAAATAAATATGTTCAGTGTTTGCTGTTTGCACTGTATATTTGCAATACTTTCCCTCGTGTTTACTTAGAAACTGGACGGTACGGACATGACAAGTCAATTTGAAGATAAATATTGAACACGTTTGCAAATTTGCTTGAGGCAATGACGTCATAAGTGTGTACATAACAAAGTTTAGACCAGTCTTTCCCATACCCCCTTGTGGGCGCTGCAGGTCTCAAGGGGGGTAAGAGACCCAGAAAGAAAATGGGGGCGTTGTGTAGAGGCCTGGAGGGTGATTTGTAATTTTATTTAGCTAGGAGGCCTCTTAGACAACGACTGCATGAGCTCTCGACTCTCAACACCAACTTGTGAAAAAATATTTATTCTCCAAGTGGGCAGTAGACAAAATAAGTTTGGGAACCACTGGTTTAGACTGTAAAAAAGGTTAATTTTCGACTTAGTTATTTATTATTATCTTACTTAATACTAATATTATAAATGCTAAAGTTTAGATGGATGTTTGTTTGAACGTATCTCCGGAATAACTCAACGGATCTTGATGAAATTTGGTGTAGACGTAGAACAGTGGTTCCCAAACTTATTTTGTCTAGTGCCCACTTTGAGAATAAATATTTTTTTAGCACCCTCATACTTTCACATATTTAAAAACCACTATAACTTCAAATGAAATTAATTAATTATTGTGACCTATAAATGTATATTAACGGAGAATTCTAAACGAAACTTTTACTATAAACCGCAACTTGAGACCTGCAGCGCCCATAAAGGGGCGTTATCGCCCACTTTGGGAAAGACTGATGTAGAGCATGGTCTTGAAGAACGCATACGCAACTCCTTTTTTTAATTCCACGCGGATGGAGCTGCGGGCGACAGCTACTATATTACAATGTTTTACAAATATGAATTTTAATAGCAAATATATATGTTATGGACAATAATTTTTATGCATAATTTGAGTTTTAACTTTAGTCAAAAATTAGTCAACTGCCGATCCCAACAATCGATCGACACTTATTCATTAATAATCTTTATAATTCGCGGTAAATATGCAAAAAATCTGCAACATTGTTTCAGAGTATTAATTGATGATTAATTACAAATTAATAACTGGTCACAATAATTAATGATCTTTTTATAGAATCTTTTATAAAAAAAATGCCAATGAGACAATTGACTGAACATGAAAAGCCGCCTTACACGGACAGCAGGCAATGTCAGCTCAAACGTTCGTTTGACAACCTCCATACACGGACCACAATTTTAATATTGTACGCCGTGTGCTCAAGTAGGTTCGTAATAACTGCTTGAAACTCGTATATCGCTTTATGTAATAAACAAATACGTATATGAAATTATTTAGGTCATTTACTGTAATTTTTTATTTAGTAGGCTTGTAGTTTTAACATTGAAATTGAGATGCTGGTGGATGAGCCGAAATCATCGGAGAAGCGAAAGCTTACAGATGGCTGGGCTACCTCATGAGGATGGGGGAAGATCGAAAGACCAAAGCAGCGTATCTCGGGACTCCAACTGGCGCCGACCCATCGGTCGGCTCAGGTCCCGCTGGCGAGACGCCTTAAAGCTGGATCTGCGGGAGCTACAAGCGATGGACTGGCAGGAGAAGGCGCAAGACAGGCGACTTCGGCGATGTCTTGTGTTGGAGGCCAAGAGACACTTAGGGTCGATGCGCCAGCAGAGTAAGTAGTTTTAATATCTTTCTGATTAAGTGCAGAGAATTTATGTAGACAAAGATTTAATCAGAGCCATATATTGTATTTTAAAATGTAGCTAGTTATTAGATCTTTTTTAGTTAGTAAGCGATAGATCAAGGCTGTATTTTTGCATCACAGTAAAGGGTAATAGTTCGTTATTAAAATTGTACTTTGTCTTAGTAAAGCTGTCACGATTTGTGTGACAGTTCGCAATTTGTCGCAGTTCAGTCTTCGCTGCTGAAACATGTCACTTTGCAAAGTTAGTATTTTTCAAATTATGATTCTTTTACTTTCTTAGAATTCAATTTTGATAATTTACAAATGTTGAACATTGAAGTTATATTGTTTCTTTTTTAACTGTTTTATCTTGAACTCTATGATTATTTTGTCAAATTTTCAAACTTAAACAATTCGATAGCCAAAAGTTCGTCGTCAAGTAAAGCAACGCCACTGTTAAAAAGTCAAAACAACATTGTTTCGAAAGGGCCAACCAAATTAAATTATATCATAATACTAGCCGTCGCCTGCGACTTCGTGAGCGCAGTATTGATAAACGTAACCTATAGGTAATATGCCTGCGTACATCAGCAATAGACAGACAAACATTTTTGCTTATTTTTTCAGCAATGCAAATACATCGTGTGTACTTAATATGCCTTTTTAATATTACATACAGACACTCCATTTTTATTAATATATAGATTGGTAATTCGTCATTTTAAGTTAAATAATTTCTTTCGCAAACAATGATATTTCATCCACCCTTATAATCGAATTTACAATCGCATTATAACCAAAAAGATTACTAAGCACACTTTCAATGTCTATTCTGTAGCTCCTTTTCCCTTTCCCTGGCCTTCATCTCCAGTTCCTCCTCTTCCTTGGTGAGGGGCACCGTGCTATGATTGTAGAGTCCTTGCGCCATGAGCTGCAGCGCGAGCGGGTTCCTCTGACCTGAGGCTTTCTTGATCTTGGCTCGTTTGTTCTGGAACCAGATCTTGATTTGAGCCTCGGCCAGGCCCAGCTCTGCAGCCAGCGCCTGCCGCCGCCGTTCCGTGAGGTAACGGTTCTCAGCAAACTCGTGCTAAAGAAAATAAAAGTTTGTCGTCTTTATATTGTCAACAAAATACATGAGAAAAAGAAATGCCTGCTAAAAACTAAAAAAAGTATATCAGATTTGTACCTTAAATATAATAGGGGAATCTATCAAAGAATAGAAAAAGCTGGCCATAATAAGTACGATTGCTTTTGGTAATATAATGGATATTCAAGAGTCTACTCTGTAGACTATTCACCTTTAGTCTCGCAAGCTGAGGTCCAGAGAAGGCAGTCCTAGGTCTTTTCTCATCAGACGTGGGTCCCTCCCCGGGCGGCTTCTTCGGTCTTCTCGTACGAGGACCTGCGACACAAGAAAGAATGGAGTCAGACTATTCTTATTACAAGGATTTTTGCCTTTTTAGGATACCAATGTATAGCCGGAATGTACCAGGGTATCATGACTTTATAGAAGATTAGTTTCAAGAAGTATTTGTTTTTTAGAAATGTTTCGTCATTTGGTAAATTGGTTTTTATCGTCTATATAATAAAGTTTAATTTATCTTACACTATAAATAAGCGAAGTGTTCGTATGAGTAAATAATTTATAAAAGTTTTTTTTTAATAATAAAAAGTCCCGCAAACAGTAGCTGGCAGCGTCCCGCTGTTAAAGACCTAATTATGTTCTCGTTTTTTTTTTCAATGTTGAATAAAAAACTTTATGACGTTTGCTTAAAGTTTAAATTGCCTTGTTTATTTGTATTGTTTATTTAGGTATCCATGTTTAACCTTGAAATTGACAGACTTATCTTTTTTGTTACTTTTGTTTCTTATACTAACAAACTTATGTTGTCTCAATACTTTTCTTTGCAACAAATGAGGCTAAAACATGTTATTTGTGAATGTTTCCGCTGTGCAAACATGGTACTTAGGATTATGAAGAACTAGACAAAATAATTGTGTGTTAAAAGCATTTTAAGGTATGGTTTTTATAATAAATATTTTATAGAACATAACTACCCCAGTAGCATGATAAATGTCGTGATGGCATAGTTAACATACAGTAAATTTCGATTCGCGATTTCTCAATTCGTGGACAAAAAATTGTAGGCAAATTTCGTATTCACGGCCAATATATTTCGACACATTTCTAGAATTAACTGTACTATACAAAATCACACATAAAAAAGGAACATTCCAAAAAAAAAACAAAAGTACAATAACAAGCAATAAAACAAACACACAAAGTTAACACGTTGAATGCTACTCTGTTACACTTCTTTGAGTCCCTACTTTCATAGCATACTGTATTAAAATATTGCTATCCCGTTCTTATACTTTGTAAAAAGAGAGATAACAATAGTATCATTCTACGATACTACGAGTAGCATTCAACGTTTTATGCCGAAATACTCATACAAAAAATATTCTTTTAAGAGTGAGAGTGATGGAGATATGTTTCTATACAAGTACTTTGACAGTGTAAACGGTTAAAACACAAAACACACAGCAGACAGAAGAACAAGCACAGAATCTTCGTCGCAGTATCCCGAGTCAAGCGAGCGATGCAATATCTTAACCAATTCACATTTGCTATGGAAGCGATTGTTTGCTATAAAATTGGTCAAAATATTGCACCGGCCGCCTGACCGGCCGCAGATATACTCCGTTGTTATCCTGAAAAATAAAAGGTTTGATTGACGCACTCATGTTAGGCCCTTAGGGCCCTTACCACTACAGACTTTTCTTTTCATTATAATACCAAATCTGTGTTATGTACGCACGTCTATACATGTCCATACTGATTAAGGGCCCAATTATCAGCAAATAAAAAGTCTGTATACGAGGACCTAAGGGTCTATAGGGGCTCACATTAGTATGTTTTTCTTACACTAATCTACACTTGTGTTCACACATATTGTCTCTGTTTTATCAAAGAGAGTGAGCGAGATGACAATATGTGTCAATACACTAACGACAAAGGCCAACGAATGCAAAGACTATAAATGCCAAAATTAATATTTCTTTGCACAGAATATAAACCCACGTTGGTATGATCTGTGTATGTACCAATGTAGATTCATATTTTTCCAGTCATCAAGCACTGGATTAATGTAAACGGGGCATAAGAACAGATTACTGGATTCATAGTGAACGTAATAAATATTAAATTAGAAAGCTTCACAAGAACAGCAATGTTATTAACAATACAAAACATAACAAGTAAGAATGCATAAAAATATTATTGTCGAATTACAGTCGAACCAGGATAAGCGAGAAACTCGGGTAAGAGAAACCTTTATAAGCGAGAAAATATCGCGATCTCTAGGATTTGTTTATCCAGGTTCGTCTGTAATGTCACGACATAATCATGCTAAAAGGGTAGTTACAAACTATTTGAATTGTAGTACATTTTTTTTTACTACGGCCCATGTTATTACGAGAAACTTCGACTAATAAGTTACGTGACCATTTATTTTTCGACTCAAAACGGGACACTGGTTTTATTCAGGTAATAAACATGTAGTCAATGAGATTTGAACTGGGTTTTCTCAAATGTATTGACCGACGATATGGTCTTGAACTCACACACTGCTCGCGTCTATCAACACAACTGCTTATATTTTCGCCGGGCTTAATAAACTAGACAATTTAGCGTCCCGGCATTCAAACTATGGACACCGGGACTCATAACTATAATACGGGACAGTCCCGTTCAAAACAGGACGTCTGGTCACGTTACTAATAAGTGACTGGTTGGTAAGAAAAATGCAAAGAAAAATTCTTACAAGATTGAATGTGTTAATAATAACAGGAAGTATAAAAGACGATAATTAAAATTTATAATCTGTATAATAATGGCCTTTAATATATTTATTAAAATAAAAATATAAATGCAATAGATTACTAATCAAATACAAGAAAAAATACATATTATCCCTTTCATTCACTATGAAAAAGACAGAGACACCAATTTCTTTTTTAATCTTGTACTTTTCTTATTTCTGTTTCGTTAGTAGATACTATGTTTTATGCAATTACTAGCAGTGGCCCGCAACTCCGTCCGTCTGTAGCCTATGTGTTCTGATATATATATTATTTTCTACATCTATGCCAAATTTCATAGAGATCCGTTCATCCGTTTTGGAGTTACTTTCAAACAAACATCCATCTAAACATTCACATTTATAATGTTAGTAAGATGTCAACTCTATACAATGTTATAAAATTACTGTCGTCACGGCCACTATTATACGGTTGTATAATTAAGTTGTATCTATTGTGAGAAATGGTAATTTTATAACTAGTCATCTACGTTTTTATAGCTAAGTTTTTTTATATCGTAAGTTGGCAAACGAGCGAGCGGCCAACTGAAATCGCTGAAATAGCGAAGTGACCGTTGCCCATAGACATGCGCAATTGCATATGCGTTGCCTACCTTTAATCGACGGAGGAGAGGATGCACAGAATGAAAATAATTTCCCTTTCCCATCATTTCCTCTCATCCGGAAAGTCCACTTCCATTTCCCATCCTTTTCTCATAAGAAAAAGCTTGGGAAGGGAAAGAGGAATAAATTAGGCCTCCGGGACGCTAAGTAAAATTAATATGTTAAGAAAACATAATAAAATAAGGATATTTCAACCGAAAGAGGTGTTAGTGTCGCGATTAATTCTGTCCGAAAATATGTAAAACCTACATGGATAGAAAATGGCATAAAAGAAATAAAACATGACATGACAGCTATGTTTTTTTTTATGAAAACCGTTTTCCCGCCAATCATAGATAAATGTAGACCACCAAAACGCGGTTGTTGATAACATTAAAATACAGATTAAAAAGAAGAATCAAAATAGAGTTTAATCATCAGCTTTAAGGTTGTTTTGATAGATTGAAAGGTCAGTAGCCTTTTAACGTTTTTTTTTTACCGTAACGTAGAAATAGACTTTTTATACGTCAGCCGTGATTTTGTAGGCGTCTAATTTGACGTTTTTGTGACATTTGTCACGGTGGTATACTTTAAAAGTGACAAAAAAAGGCTGCATCTCATTTCGTGAGATCTTAATTGTAAAGAAAATAACATTGTCACCAAACTGTTACAACAAGAAACATAAAAAAACAATTAAAGTACATATTTAGATTTTAGTTAACCGCAATAAAACATATTTAACTAAAATAGTGGAATAAATCTAGACAATGTATTTATTACGTGAATTCTTTAGTTAATACTCTTCTTTCGACCCTTACTGTATTTCAATGGATGAAAGTAATTGATAAAATTAATATATAAAAAAATGGGTTTGTCTCACGTTGCTGCCGTGAGCTGGTCCCGTACTTACTTCTTCCTAAAACAAAAGAGAAAACCAATTATTAGAACATACATGAAAAGCAAAACAATTTATAAAATTGAACAATTTAGCTCGCGTTGTCATGTTCAAAATACGTATAATTATCAGCTGTACGTCCCCACCGAGGGGCTTGGAGCCTACCCTAAGTTAAGGGTGATTAGGCCATAGTCAACCACGCTGGCAAGTCCGAGTTGACTTCACACATATCTTTGAATTTCTTCTCAGATATGTGCAGCATCACGATGTTTTCCTTCATCGTAAATTAAGTATAATTATAACAAAATATCACAATGGTATGTCTACGAAACTATTATAAACTAACTATCACACGCGACACCGTCCGCGAAGAAAAAAAAAAACATAATTAGTATCCTATGTTCTTCCAGACTATGTTCTACATCTATGCCAAACGAGATCCATGCAGCTGTTCTGTAGATACCTTCTAACAAACATCCATACGAACATTCACATTTATAATATTAGTAAGAAGTAACATTAGGAGGGCGAAATTTTTTTTTTATAAGAGAAGGGGGCAAACGAGCGACGGGAACACAGAGGTGATCAACGACACCCATGGACGTCTGCAACACCAAAGGAAGTGTAAGTGCGTTGCCGGCCTTTAAGGAAATGGTATGCTCGCTTCTTGAAGGTCCCTAAGTCGTATTGGTTTGGAAATAATAATTTAATTAAATCGAATAGATAATTTAGTTCTTTTTTTTTAATTTTTAATCAAGCAACTAAACTACAAAGGTTGTATAAGTAATTTAAATAGATTTTTAAACATCTACGATGTTGTCTTTGGTTAAAGAAACTTGTCTAATTTTAAACTTCTATCAAGTTAGCCTGATACACCGACTATACAAAAACATAAAAATCGAACGTAAAATCTAACAAGCAAACAAACAAATGTAAAGCCAAAGGGAATTAACGTGCGTTTTTTTCTATACCATTTTATAGTGTGTACACATCCTAAAAGTGGAAGGGAAAACCGTTGTGACGTCAGACCACCCAGTAACATCAGCGAATAATTAAGACATTATGTGTTACATGATATTATCTGTAACCAGTTCGGAATTCCTATTTCTGGAGACCTCGTTTCGTTTTAATGGCCTTGTTATAGGACTCGGGGTTCGTCGAAAGTCGCTACAAATATTTCAAGTATGTTGGGAAATATTTAAAATTACTTTAAAAATTTCTATTGTTATATTGTTATAGACAATTAGTGTAAATTGCTTTTAAGTTATTTTACGGTCGTCTGAATTGTGTTTTTTTTCCTTTTTAATTACTTAGACCAATTTTTTTTTTTGATATAAAATATTAGCAGATTTTTTTGTTAATGTACTAATATTTCTTTTACCATTCCAACTAAGCTCTATGCTTGTGTTAGGATATGGTTTACGACAATAGTCGAATGTCGGGATTCGAACCCCCGACCTCGTGATCGGAAATCCGCACCCTTAACCATTAGGCTATTGACGCTTTAAAATTCCCGATTAAAATATTTTTTTTTCTCTGTTTTATAAATTTATTAAGTTCGTACAGGTATTATTTAGTCTACTAATCTCAGGAACTACTGGTCCGATTTGAAAAATTATTTTTTTGTTGGATAGTCCATTTATAGAGGAAGGCTTTACGCTATATAACATTACGCTGCGACAAATAGTTTTTAAGTACGCGCGGACGGTAGACAACTAATTTAGACCTATGGCGACAACTAGTTTGATCTTAATTAAATTAGGTATATATGTAGAACATAGAAGAACAAATGGAATACTTATTAAGATTATTTTTTTAATTCATCGTGGACGCAGTCACGGGCGAAAGCTGGTTTTAAATATTCATCGGTATTGACAGTTTTATACTTACTCGTATTTGTAATTTAATCCTTTATTATACTAATTACTGCTCGATGTTTGTTTAAGGCTTTTGATTGGTTTATAGTTAACAGCGGCCGTAAACGCGGTAACATCAAAGCTTAGTAATAATGCCTGTTTCACACGAGGGAGGTAAGACAGAGTAGTAGATAGTGCAGTACTGATATATTTTCTCGTTCCCTTAACATATTTTTGTGTTAGAGACCTTGGGTGTGGGGTGTACTTAATTTCTTTATTCTTTTAAACATTAGAATCCTTTGGCGCGAATGACGTGCTTTCGTTACAAAGTTACGTTACGTCGACATTTTAGTTAGGCTAGTGTTGAGTCAATACACTGCCACATTTTCGGATTTTCTACTTAACAATTCTTACATATACATCATCATAAATTATCGTTAACTATAAAAGGTTAAAATAAGTTTAAATATACTGATATTTACGCACATTTACTGTAGAAATAATATTATTCAGTAACCCTAATGCGTTTGATAATTTATAAAGATAAAAAAGTTAAGGAGAATTTCTTGTATCGTTTATTTTGTGTGAAAGTGTCTAAAAAATATGAAAATCTTATCATACAATAACATAATACGTTAATAATTTAAAAAGAAATCTACCATAGACGATAAAAATAATATCGATATTCCCAATATCTCGCCATCAATCAAAATCGATACTGGCCACTATAAAAATAAATCAACAGTCTCCATAAAAAAATTACCGAATAAAATAATTTAAACAAAAAAAATTCAATCACAAGCAAATATAAGATGTAAATACTTAAGATTAAGGTCGATAATAATTTAAGAGTTACGCAATTGAATTGGGTATTTTATCGGTAAAGAGTAATAATAGGTCTCTTATTGGAGGCAAATGTCTTCATTACAAGACTTCGTTGGTGGCGCGAACGTGTTAAAAGACCCAACACGGCTCAAACAAGGAGTATTTATATATAATATTTGAATAGTACAATGCTTTAATTTGAAATTACTTTAAGCTTATTATTATTAGTCTACTAACTATCTCATACGAGGAATTAAAAAAAAAACTTAATTAGTAGCCTATGTTTTCTTCCAAATTATGTTTTTTTATATCATAAGGTGGCAAACGAGCGAGCGGCCACCTGAAATCGCTGATATAGCGAAGTGACCGTTGCCCATAGACATACGCAATTGCATATGCGTTGCCTACCTTTAATCGACGGAGGAGAGGATGCACAGAAATAAAATATATTCCCTTCCCATGCATCCTCTCATCCGGAAAGTCCACTTCCACTTCCCATCCTTTCCTTATAAGAAAAAAGGTGGGAAGGGAAAGAGGACTAAATTAGGCCTCCGGGACGCACACTCATCAGTACTGTACTTGGAATTGCTTCCACTTGACGCCTGTCTTCTGTGTGGTCGTGGTATTTCACCGGGCGAGCCGGGACAATTCGTGCGAAGATGTTAAAGCGGGCTCTACCACTGTTAAAATCTAAATGTTCTATATATATACCAAATTTCATCATTAAACCGTTCTAGAGATGCCTTCAAACATCCATCCAAACATTCGCATTTATAATATTAGTAAGATTGTAAAATTCCAATAAATTCTTTAATAAATTAGCTTACAAAAAAACATCTTGCTAAATCAAGCTTATTCAAAGAGAATAACAAAGTTAACCTCAAACTTTTCTATTATGCAGTGAAAACCCACGCTAATTGAGATCACAAAAGTAATATATTTTTATTAGCCATAAAATTATTCATGAGATGTTCATCAAGGAAAAGAATATGTTAATTTTGTCTACTATAAATATATTTATTTGTAACTTGTCTTAAAAAACATTTTATAACTATGAACACAAGAACAATTAAAATGTTAATTTCGTTACATTTGGGACACCTTTTTCTTCAATATACATCCTAGGTTATCTTACTAATATTATAAATGCGAATGTTTAGATGGATGTTTCTTCTTGTTGAGGTGCCTCTCCGACTAACGAAAGTTGGCGATCAGTTCTTCATATTTTCCATTGTCTCTTGCGAGGCGAAATAGTTGGCACTCCCAACCCCTGTATACTCTCGGATGTTGCGCAACCAGGACTTTTCCCATCAAGATGAGTTGAATCAGATTGTATCTCTATGGATGTTTGTTAGAAGGTATCGCCACGACTTCATGGATCTCGCTGAAATTAGGCATAGATGTAGAACATAGTCTGGAAGAACACATAGGCTATTAATTCAGTTGTTTGAAATTACGCGAGGATGGAATAGCGGGCGACAGCTAGTCCTTTATACGTTTACCAAAACTTATTATTACGATAGTTAGTTATAATTTATTTATTATAAAGGTAAGGAATGCAGCATAAGTATGCCTAAAATTTTAATAGGCGTTTTTAATTCACAACTGTGTTACGATAAATGAAATTATCTTGTTATCGATTACGGAATTTCTTTTATGAAACACGGTCGTAAAGTATTTTAAACATTGCCGTTGACATTTTTGGAATTAAATATTTTTCTTCTTTTTTTTATAATTGCATGTGTTCGTGGGTTTCGGAGACCAAAATCCCCGTTTAAAACATGTTATCACTGTTTTGTTAGGTAATGCCAGGGATGACGTTATGTTTTATACAGAGATTAGCTATCGCCCGTGACTACGTCCACGCGGAATTAAAAAAGAACTTAATTAACCTATGTGTTCTTCCAGACTATGTTTTAATCCCTACCAAATTTCATCGAGATCCATACAGCTGTTCTGGATATACCTTTACAAACATCCATCCATTTGCATATTAGTAAGATAAGATTGACTATGGCCTAATCACCCGTAACTTAGGGTAGGCTCCGAGCCCCTTGGTAGGGACGTATAGTGAGCATGCAAAATCAACGGTAAAAACTTTTTTAAACAGCATTAAGTCAGCTGCAGTTTTCATACAAAATACATTTGAATCGGTTTAAATATGTTTTTTTCTTAATTGCTAACCAGTTTACGAAGTTGACAGTTGTGATTGTCCGTATGTCACAGTAGCGAAATCCGACCTCCACGAAACTGGATTGAGTATGCTAATTCCGCGGCGCTGGTGTCGCGTAAATTACTATGTTACGACGTTAATCGCTTTATTATCTGTTCCCGTCTTAA